AAAAAAAAAAAAAAAAAAAAAAAAAAAGAAACCAAAGAAGTTCCTAGAGTCCCCAAATTTCTTATGTACAGAAACTACTTTGTAGTTCCTTAAAGCTTTAAGATTTAGCAAGCAGCTTTGATATTGACTGTAAGGCTATAATGTACTAGATTTGAGGCTCTGTCTCAAAAAAAAAAAAAAGGTAGAAAAAGGCCCACTCTTCACAATTTGTATGTATCTCAAATAGCACCTACCTCTTATCAGGAGCTGCCCTGGAAAGATTCCGGTCATGCTGTCTCTCTTTTCGCCTATCGTGCCGGATTTCATCCCTCTCACGTGCCTCCCCATCCTCTGTGTGTGTGGACACAGTTGAAAATTACTTTATCCATTAACATTTTGAATAAGAAAATATTATTTAGACACAAAAATTCCACGAACTTCTTTATAGTCATACTTCATCTTTTAAAACAATTTAAATCCAATGAATACTATTAGTTTAATTTTTGAATATGAATGCTAGAATTATCCATGTAGCTAAAGTGTGTAGAGGTAAAGTATACTGTTGTTTTCAACTTTTGAAATACAAAGTAGATAGGAGGAATGATAGAGGAATAGAGATATAGGATAAATTTTGCAATGTTTTTTATTTTAAATAAAATTCTTGATACATAATAATTGTACATATTTATGGACTACATGATATCTGACATATACTGTGTTTCTCCAAAAGTAAGACCTACCCAAAAAAATAAGCCCTAGCAGGATTTCTATGCATTTGTTAAATATAAGCCCTACCCCGATAAGACCTAGTGATGGGCGTGGCTATGCAGATACGATGCATAGCCATGCCGTACATTTCAGCACGGAGAGGAAGACATCCCCTGAAAATAAGCCCTAGTATGTCTTCTTGAGAAAAAATAAATATAAGACAGCATCTTATTTCTGGGGAAACATGATACATACAATATGCAATAATCAAATTGGGTTAATTGGGATATCCATTATCTCAAACATCTATCATTTCTTTGTGTCGGGAACATTCAAAATCTTTTAAAGCTAATTTTAAATATTTGGTAAGTTATTTGTACTATTGAGCACTGAAACATATTCTTTCTCTCTAATAGAATGTTTATACCAATTCCATTACCTAACTTCTCTTCATCCTCCTCTTGCTCCCTCTTCCTTTCCCAGTCTCTGGAACCATCATTCTATCTTCTACCCCCATTAGATCAGCTTTTATTAGTCCTTACATATGAGTGAGAACATGTGATATTTGTCTTTCTGTGGCTGGTTTATTTCACTTAACATACTGTCCTTCAGTTCCATCCATATTGCTGCAAATGACAAATTTCATTCTTTCTCATGGCTGAGTAATATTCCATTATACAGAGATAACACATTTTCTTTCTCCATTCCTCTGTTGATGGACATTTAAGTTGATTAGCTCAGCTATTATGAAGAGTGCTGCAATTAACATGGGAGTGCAGGTATCTCTTCGATATACTGATTTCCTTTCCTTTGGATATATAGCCAGCAGTGGGACTATTGGATCATGTGATAGGATCTATTTTTTGTTTTTTTGAGGAAACTCCATGCAATTTTCCATAGTGGCTGTACTAATTTACATTCCTAACAGTAGTGCACTTACACTCCCCTATCTCCAGATTCTTGCCAGCATCTACTGTTGTCTTCTGACAATAGCCATTTTAATGGGAGTGAGATTGGTATTTGTCATTATGGTCCAGATTTGCATTTCCCTGATGATTAGTGATGTTGAGTACTTCTTCTTATACTTGTTGACCATCTGTCTTCTTTTGAGAAATGTACATTCAGATCATTTGCCCATTTTTCTTTCTTTTTTTTTTTTTTGAGACAGAGTCACTCTGTCACTCTGGGTAGAGTGTCATGCTGTCATAGCTCATGGCAACCTCAAACTCATAGGCTCAAGTGATCCTCTTGCCTAAGCCTCCCCAGTACCTGGGAGTATAGGTGCCTACCACAATGCCCAGCTACTTTTTCTATTTTTAGTAGAGATGGGTTTTCACTCTTGCTCAGGCTAGTCTCCAACTCCTGAGCTCAAGCAATCCATCTACCTTGGCCTCCCAGATTAATAGGATTGTACACATGAGCCACCACACCCAATCATCCAGTGCCATGTTAATAAAGGCAGTGAAAGCTCATGTCTTGTTCCAGATTTTAGAGGAAAATCTGTCAATTGTCCTCCATTCAATAGGATGTTAACTGCAGATTTCTCATATATGGTCTTTATTATTTTGAGGTATGTTCCTTTTGTACCTAGTTTGAGAGTTTTTATCATGAAGAGATGTTGAATTTTATTAACACTTTTTTCAGCATCTACTGAACTATATAAAGTTTGTTCTTGGGCGGCACCTGTGGCTCAAAGGAGTAGGTCAACAGCCCCATATACTGCAGGTGGCAGGTTCAAACCTGGCTCCAGTCAAAAACAGCAAAAAAAAAGTTTGTTCTTGACTCTGTTAAATGTGATCTGTCGTGTTTATTGATTTGTGTATGGTGAACCATCCCATCCTTGCATCCCTGGGATTGAATCCCACTTGATCATGATGAATGATTTTTTTTTTTTGTATTGTTGAATTTGGTTTGCTAGCATTTTGTCCAGGTGCTAGCAGGTTTGGTTTCCTAGCATTTTGTTGCATCTCCATTCATCAGCAATATTGGCCTATAGTTGTGGTTTTTGTCCATGTCAGGTTTTGCTAAGAGGGTAATGTCAGCCTCAGAGAATGAGTTTGGAAGTATTCCCACCTCTTCAATTTTTTGGAACAGTTTGAGTGGAATGGGTATTAGTCTTTCTTTAAATATCTGGTAGAATTCACCCTTCAGCAGTGAAGCTTTTCTTTTATGGGAGCATATTTGTTGTTAAAAAAATATTAACTGAATAATATAGATGAGGAGGATCTGATATGGTGGTCATTATGTAATCCTTTGACTTCTTCTATGTTTGAAAATTTTCATGTCAGAAAAAAGATTTATGCATAAGTTTTCCCTTATATTTTCAAAGTTTTTTATTGAATAGAGAATCTTTGTGTTCCATAGAGGCTGGCTGTATCTTGATCTTTACTTAATTTCTGTCTATTTTCACTTTCTCTACCTTCACCAGTCTGAGGAGATATAGTAAAGAGCCCATGAGCCAACCCATCTGGATTCAAATCTTGTTTCTATGACAAATTAGCAATGTGACCTCATGCAGGTTACTTAACTACTCTAAGCTTTAGTTTTCTCTGTAAAAAAGTGATAATGACAGTACCACTGCATAAGGTTGCTGTAGGAATTATGTGGTAATACATGTAAAGTCCTCAGAGAGGCACCTGCCATAAAAAAAAAACACTGAAATGTTAGTTTTGAGTAATACCTGGCAATAAATTTTTAAAAATTTTAATTTCTCAAGAACGATTTTAGTTTTTTATCAGTTTAGAGAGCTTAGATACATTAAGCTTAACATCTAATTGCCTTCAGTGGGTATGTATATAACATGTAGGTATTTACATCTTGCCACATTAAGTCATTCATGCATGCTTCAGGGAAGTGGATCACTCTATAGCCTTGGTTAACTTCCTATAATTGAACTCTATACTTCTATAACCAAGTGCCCACTTAACACTTCAATCTTATGCTTAACATATCATGAATTAAATTTCTCATCTTTTCCACCCAAACCTATTCTTCCCAACATTAGTAAAGAGCAATTTAATCCTTTCCAACTGCCCAGGACAAAAAAGTTCTGGAGATACCCCTGACTCCTATTTTTCTTTTATACCACTACTTAATCCATAAGCAAATTTTGTTAGTGCTACCTCAAAAATGCATCCAGTATTAGATGTTGGTGATGACCATGTTTACATCTAGATGAAAAACTATTTTGCATCTGGTTTATTGCAGTAGTCTTCCAAACAGCTTCTCTATTTTTGCCCAAGACCATGCCACAGTCTTGTAATTTTTTTTTTTTGGAGACAGAGTCTCAAGCTGTCACCCTAGGTAAAGTACCATGGTGTCATAGCTCACAGCAATCTCCAACTAGAGCTCAAGCGATCCTCTCGCCTCAGTTTTTGTATTTTTAGTAGAGACGGGGGTCTTACTTTTTGTTCAGATTGGTCTGAAACTCATACGCTCAAGTTATCTACCCGCCTCAGCCTCCCAGAGTGCTAGGATTACAGGCGTGAGCCACAGCGCCTGGCCCCACAGTCTTCTATTTCTAACATAGCAGCCAGAGTGATCTTTTAAACATTTATGTTAGAGAAAATATTGGCCAAATGAACAAAGTTTTACTTGTGCAATTTGAATGAGTTCTGGAGATGTTACGCACTATATGGTAGTAATAGTTAACAATACTGCATTGTATACTTGACATTTTCTGGGAAAGCAGATCTTATTCTTTTTTTTTTGCAGTTTTTGGCCAGGGGCAGTACCCTACTCGTTGGAGTCACAGACACCACCCAAGATCTTAATTATTCTTACAAAAAATTTAAAACGTAACTTTATGAGCTTGAAATGTCAATTAGCATAATAGTGATAAATATTTCACCATGTATTTGTACATCAAAACGTTGTGTTATGGCTGGACATGGTGTAATCCTAACACTCTGGGAGGTAGAAGCAGGCAGATTGCTTGAACTCAGGAGTTGACCAGTCTGAGCAAGAATAAAACCTTGTTTTTGTTAAAAAAAAATAGAAAAATTAGCCGGTATAGTGGCTCACACCTATAGTCCCAGCTACTCAGGAGGCTGAGGCAAGAGGATCACTTGAGCCCAAGAGTCAAGAGGCATGCTTGAGCCAAAGAGTTTGACGTTGCTATGAGTTGTGACACCAGGCACTCTAGCCTGGGACGACAGAGTAAGACTATCTCAAAACAAAACAAAGTATCACGTTGTATACCTTAAACATATACAATTTTTTTATTTGCCAATTATACACCAATAAAGCTTGGGAAAATATATGTCAGATCATGTCACTCTACTCAAAACTCTTCAATCGCTTCCTTTGTCACTTGAAGTAAAAACTATATCCTTATAATGGCTAAAAGGCCACACATGATCTGGCTACTTTTCCTACCTGCCCTAGCTACTCTGACATCTCATCTACTTTTTTTCTTCCCTTTTCACTACAATCCAGCCATCCTGGCCTCCCAACTTCCTAAGCATACCAGACACATTCCCAACCTATGGCCTTTGTACTTGCTTTGGCCTTCTGGCTCTGTTATTCTCCCAGATAGCCACAAGGCTTGCTTCCTTACTCCTAGTTTTTGTGGTAATGTTACCATCCCAGAAGTGAGGCTTACTCTGACCACTCACTACTTCTGGTACTGTTATACCCCCTTTCTTGTTGTATTTTTCTCCACAGCAATCATTACTTTCTACTATACTACATGAATAACTTTTTTGTCTGTCTACATCCACTTGAATATTGGCTGACATATCCCATTCCCCTCACCATCTAGCAGAAAACCTGGTGTCTACTGGAGAGCTTTACATAAAGTAGGTGTTCAATGTGAACTTAATGAATAAGTAATTGTACTAGGCTAGGATTTATTAATGAAACAAAAATCACTCACAAATTTTCCTGAGTTAGAAGTGGAATTCATCTTCCCACTCTAATTACATAAATATAGCTACACAGATTACTAACTAAAGCCAGAGAGAAAATACTAGTAGATTTAATGATTAGAAGTGCATTAGCCTACAAGACAGAAAAACTCTAAATTACGTTACTATGGAAGGGAGCTGAATCAATTAGTTGGCATTCTCATTTCTCTAATCTCAAGAAAATTAAGAAAAAAATCAAGCCTATCATTTGAGTAACTGTGATTCTGTAAAGTATATCACTCAGGTTAAAAACTTCTAGTATAGTCGCACACTGAAGGGCTACCTTTAAATACATACTCTTATCTTTTGCTCCAGCTAGGTAAGACAGAAGTTACTCTCTATTCCTACATTATTTCTGAAACATCTAATTCTTTTTTACTACTTTTGTTTCCTTTAAAAAAAACAAAAACAAAAACAGATTTTCTGAAATTAGATACATTTTATTCACAATGTAAATTCAATTTGGTAATGAGAATGTCATACCTTTTTCCACATGGGTTTTGATCCCAGCTCTCCTCTCTCTGGCTTTCTGGGCCATTTCTCTAAGTTTCTCTTCATGTTTCTCCTTTTCTTTCTGGGCCATTTTTCTCTCTACTTGGGCACGCATTTCCACAGCTTCACGAGCCTGTTAGTAAAGTCAGACATTAAACAGGACAGTACTGAAGGCTAAGTTAGCTATCATCTAACTCTATAAAGTCTGACTTGTAAGAGCATTTATACAGAATTCAGATTCGTTATTGCTGATTAAAATGAAGATTCTTATCCAAAACAATGTCTGGCTTGGAAGATACTACAAGGTCAGTATTTTTTTTTTTTGACACAGAACCTCAAGCTGTCCCCCTGGGTAGAGTGCTATGTCATCACAGCTCACAGCAACCTCCAACTCCTGGGCTCAAGCGAGTCTCCTGCCTACGCCTCCCAAGTAGCTGGGACTACAGGTGCCCACCACAATACCTGGCCATTTTTTGGTTGCAGCTGTCATTATTGTTTGGCGGGCCTGGGCTGGATTTGAACCCGCCAGCTCAGGTGTATGTGGCTGGCGCCTTAGCCACTTGAGCCACAGGCGCCAAGCCAAGGTTAGCATTTTTAACTCTGTGAATGTTTTAGTGGTTGAAACGATAGTGACCCCTGGCAATTTTCTAAGTAAAATGTTTCACTAATGCTTTCTCAAAAATAATCTAAAAGGCTGAGGGTCAGGCACAGGGGCTGACACCTGTAATCCTAGCACTCTGAGAGGCTGAGGTAGGTGGATTACAGGAGCTCAGGAGTTCTGAGACCAATCTGAATAAGAGTGAGACTCCATCTTTAAAGACAGCTGAGCACTGTGGCAAATAACCTATAAAGTCAGCTACTTGAGAGGCTGAGGCAAGAGGATAACTTGAGCCCAAGAGTTTGAGGTTGCAGTGAGCTATGACACTCTGAGGGTATAAGACTGTCTCAATAAATAAATACATTGCTGAGCACAGTGTTTCACACCTATAATCCTAGCACTTTGGGAGGTTGAGGCAATAGGATTGCCCGAGGCCAGGAGTTTTAGACCAACCTGAGCAACATACAGAGACCAGTCTTTACAAAAAATAAAAAAAATTAGCAAGGAAGCTAAGACAGGAGTACTGCTTGAACCTATGAATTTGAGACACACTGAGCTATAGATGATGCTACTGCACGCTAGCCTGGGCAACAGAGAGAGACCCTGTCTCAAAAACAAATCTAAAAATCAAAATTAAGATGACTATATAGCAATTTCCATTATCAATATAACAGGAGCTGGTTAAATTTTCATGATCAAGTCAACTCAATGTAAAACCTTAGCTTATAATCTACTAGAGTTTTTATAAATGTACTTGCTGTGACAAAGACATGCTTTTCTGTGTTCTAAACGTATACCATGATGTGCGTGAAGTATACCATAAAATATAATATTGATATTGGTCAAAACTATCAATGACATTTTATGTAGCATTCAGTTCATTAGTTGTTGATCTGCTCTTCCAAATGCCCTTTTGTAGGGCATCTACATCTAAAATAGAGAAAAATTATGAAATATAGAATAATACAGGCAATCTTCACAAAATTCCTAGCCTAACCAACCATTTGAAAGGGGCAGCCCTGCAAAAATAACAGGAAAAATACCTAATCTTGACATTTCCTAGTATCAGTTAAAGATCAATCCTGAGTTCTCCAGCTAACAGGCACCCTACAGGGGTTCTGTTTTGTACAACTTCTGAAAAGAGCTGAACAGATATAAAAGAGATGTAAAGTTGCTTTTAACAATCTTTTTTTTTTTTAATAGAGTTTCTGAGTGAACAGCAGGGGTCCCTGCCCAAAACTGTTAACCTCAAAGGCAGTGTCACCAGTGATAAAGTCTATCTCCAAGGAAAGGTAAGGAAGCCAACTCTTAGACTTTGATAACCTGCCTCAACTAACATAGCAGTTTCATAGTACCCTGTTAATTTTGCTATAGCCATAAACCTTCCTCACCCCCTAAATGAAAAGCCAAAGTACCTGATTCTCATTGCCAATACCATCTCCCTCTCTTTCAGTGTTTCCATGTAGGAAAAATTAAATAAATAACTTCTTTCTAATCTTTATCTGGAGATATCGTTCTCAAAACCTATGTGCACTAAGCTCTCCACTAGCCCAAACCCTAACATCATTATTCCAGCATGCTGTGAGGGGGAGCTGGATCACCACTGGTGTGTGTATAGGTCTACTTGCCAACTCTGGCACACATACAAAGGTGAGACTCTCTCTGGGTGTTCAGTATTGTAGCTAAATTACCACTTATCTTAAGAATGGATTTTAAAAGTATCAACATTAAATGAGTAATTACAACAGACCAACCTTCCGATCAGCAATATAGAGAGCTTCAGCCAGTTTGGCAAAATTTTCATTTATGTGTACCGTCTGTAGTCCTCGTCCATCAGCAGCTAGACGTTTGTCTAATGGAATTGTATAACCCTAGTGTGAAAGCAGACAGAAAACACCAGTCACAGAATAGCCACATAAAAGATGTAAAGTCTCTATCTTTTTATGGCTGCATAGTATTCCATGGTATACATATAGCACAATTTGGGCTACTTCCATGACTTGGCAATTATGAATAGGGCTGCAATAAACACTCTGGTGCAAATGTCTTTGTTGTAAAATGATTTTTGTTCATCTGGGTAGATATCTAGTAATGGAGTTGAATAAAATCTCAAGAATGGAAAAAAACGTATCCAATGTACTCGATACTATTATGAAACCAATATATAATCACTTACACACCCATATGAATGATAAAACAGAAATACAGTCCAGCAAGGAAGGGAGATGAGGGAGAGGGGGAGGGCAAGTGGGAGGAGGATGGAGGGCATTTGGTGGGATCTTGCCTGATGCGCACACTGCAAGGGTACATTTCAAAACAACTAAGAGTAAATTATAAAAATGTTACCACAAAAAATAAGTGAGGTGATTTTTACATTAATCAGTCTGATTCAAGCATTCCACACTGTATATCAAATCATCACATTGTACACGTTATCATTTAATAAAAATTAAAAAATTAAATTCATATATATCCATTTTGAGAACCATTTAGTTGGAGAGAGTTTTCTTACATCTTTATTCACAACTATGCAAAACAACAACAGCTAACAATGAGTGCTTTGTGTGGTAGATTAAGCACTTTGCCCCTATGGTTTCATTTAACCTTCACAATAACTCTATGAGTCTAGTAACATTGTTGTGTCCACTTCATTGATGCTTAGGTAATATCCCCCAAGGTTAGAGAGTTAATAAGTAGATGAGCTAGGATTTAAACTCAGATCGTATGATATGTGACACTTCAGAGCCCAAGCTCTAGAAAAAGATTTCTCATGTTAATAAGTGTGAATTAAAACAAAAGGAAACAGCTCTTATATTTACTTGAGGAACAACTCAAGTAAATAAGAGCCATACAATATAATACAAAGGTAGAATAAATTACTATAATCTTAGTATTTATAGGTAGCTTAATCTGGTGTACTGTCTTAACGACTTGTTAGATTCTTAAAACTCTTTAAATTTTAGAAAATAAAAAATAAGATAAAGTTCACTAGAAAACTGACATTCTACATTTTGAGATTTTGCGTCCCATTTCAATAATACAAGAAATATCTTGAACATCCATGTAACTTTCAGGCTTAGCTTTATTTTCCCAGGTTTCTGAGTAGACTCCCAAATGTTGACCTCTGCTTTCTGGTCTCCTAACAAAATGAAGTGTTACAGACCAGCTCCAGATACTTACTTGCATACATATTAAGTAACCCAAATTAGGCCAGTCAACAACATTTTAGTTTTAGGCTGAGTACATAAATTCCGTTAGGGAAGTTAAAGGGCCTTCCTCATCCATCAAAAATAAAATCACAAGGCAGAGCATGGTGGCTCAGGCCAGTAATACTAGCGCTTTGGGAGGCTCAGGTTGGAGGACTGCTTGAGGTCAAGGAGTAGCAAACTAGCCTGAGCAACAAAGAGGCTTTGACTGCACAAAAAATATAGACAAAATTAGCAGGACATGTGTCATATGCCTGTCGACCCAGCTACATGGGAGGCTGAGGCAAGAGCATCACTTAAACCCAAGAATTCAAGGTTGTAGTGAACTGTGATGAAGCCACTGCATTCTAGCTCAAGCGGCAGTGTCAGACTCTGTCTTAAGCAGCAGTATCAGATTGATTGATTGACATGTGATTCGGGAAAAGAGAGGAAATAGTGATTAGGAAATCTGTCCCACATTTTATACATTCTTTAAAAACTCTTGGAAGTTGTGGCAATTAGCTGAGGTGTATAGCATTAAAGAGCTTGAGCTCTCAATGTTATCAACAGATATAGCTGAAAATTAAAGCACTAAAAATATATACATATTTACTCTGCTTTGTTCTTTTGTCAAATGATCATTAGACTGGTTTAATTTCTTTCAGAAATAATTTTTAGACATAAATTTTTTATTTTTCTTTTTTGAGACAGAGCCTCAAGCTGTCCCCCTGGGTAGAGTGCTGTGACATTACAGCTCACAGCAACCTCCAACTCCTGAGCTCAAGCGAGTTTCCTGCCTCTGCCTCCCAAGTAGCTGGGACCACAGGCATCCGCCACTATGCCTGGCTATTTTTTGGTTGCAGCCGTCATTGTTGTTTGGCGGGCCCAGGCTGGATTTGAACCTGCCACCTTAGGTGTATGTGGCTGGCGCCTTAGCCACTTGAGTCATAGGCGCCAAGCCAAATTTTCTTTTCTTTCTTTTTTTTTCGAGACAGAGTTTCAAGCTGTTGCCCTGGGTAGAGTGCTGTGGCATCACAGCACACAGCAACCTCAAATTCCTGGGCTTAAACAATCCTCTTTCCTCAGCCTCCCAAGTAGCTGGGACTACAGGCACCCGCCACAACGCCCAGCTACTTTTTGGTTATAGTTGTCATTGTTGTTTGGCAGGCCTGGAATGGATTCAAACCCACCAGCTCTGGTGTATGTGACTGGCATCCTAGCCACTTGAGCTACAGGAGCTGTGCCTAAATTTGAATTTTCTAGAGATCATCATCTTATATTGATAGGGTACTTTATCCTACTTATTCCCTGCCTGTTTGTTTCTGATAGCTACAATTCACTAAAAAAACTACATGGTACTCATGTGTCTGGCATACTAGTATTTTTATTACATTAAAAAGTCATATAGGGCGGCGCCTGTGGCTCAAAAGGGTAGGGGGCTGGTCCCATATGCCAGAGGTGACAGGTACAAACCCAGTCCTGGCCAAAAAAAAAAAAAAAGTCATACAAATTGTGCATTCCTTTTTCAAAAAGTTACACAGGCTATAGCTCTTTCCTGGGTGTCTTCCAGTAGGTTATAACACGAAGATACTGATTTTATGACATCTCAATTACCTTTGCATTTTTCCAGTTAGAAATACAAGGAGGAATCTTCCACTCTTGTTGTTCCTTTACAGTCATCTGAATTGAGAGAAGAAAGAAAACATTTTCAGATTTACTTTCTAGCTAAAACCCAAGTAAAATCTTTCTCTTCAAAGACAACACCATACACAGTGACATACACAGACTTTGTCAAAGGCCAAAATACCTTTTGTTTTGGTAGCACTCTATATACTATCTTCCCTTATCATGGATCCTAGACCTAAGTTTAAACAAGTATAAAAAATGGAAAATAATCTAGAAATCATTTTTGATAGCTATGAATGCTGGATAGTATTTTTCCATATTTAAAGTGGTATGATTTATTTGGTATGATTTATTTCAGATAAATTATTCTTTTGAGTAATAAAACATATCATAAAAAGCCACTCAATTATTAGAGACTTAATGAACTCATGTATTCACTTCTTACAACATCCTTCATGTGAAACAGCAGATTCTGTTCATTGCAATTAAAGCAGGATTTAGGTTACTAATAACAAAATTTATAGCTAACATTCTATACACATCTCATAAGCACTCTGGGACCTACACTTTGTAATCACTACTAATTTCAACTTGAGAAATAAAAAAACTAACTCGATGTGATGATATGTACCTATATAGGCATAAAGAGATTATTTATAAAATCATGAGCAGAAAAAAGATTTTAGACTCTAACAAAGAATACCTTTCGGCTGGGAGAATGCATGACAGGTGCAGGAGGAGAAGGTGGTCCCCGGGGAATTTTCTTATTGATCCTGAAGGATAAATCAAAGCACAATCAGAGAGTGGTAAAGGCAGCTCCAAGTTACAGATATGAGACTCACATACAACTTGCACTTATGAATGGATATTACAGGTAAATGTACCAGTTCCAACTTACATACAAATTCAACTTAAGAACAAACCTACAGAACCTGTCTCAACCTGGGCAATGCCTGTATACTCTTTTCCTCTTTTAGTTATATCAAGTTTCCCCTCCTCATTTTTTATTGTGTAAATTCAAACATAGACAAAAATTGAGACTGCAAAGGAATGGCCATTTATTATACACCTATCATCCAGCTTTAATAATTAAGAAAATGTGTCCAGGGTGGCGCCTGTGGCTCAGTGGGTAGGGTGCTGGCCCTATATACTGAGGGTGGTGAGTTCGAACCCAGCCCTGGACAAACTGCAACAAAAAAGTAGCCAGGGGTTGTGGCAGGCACCTGTAGTCCTAGCTACTTGGGAGGCTGAGGCAAGAGAATCACCTAAGCCCAAGAGCTGAAGGCTACTGTGAGCTGTGATGCCACAGTACTCTACTGAGGGTAACAAAGTGAGACCGTCTCTGAAAAAAACAAAACAAAACAAACCAGAAATGTGTCCAATCTTGTTATCATCATTCATCTCACCTATACAGATATATTATCATTTCACAGAGTATTATACTTTTTTCCTTTTTAAAAAGCACCTTTATTAAGATACAACTGATAGGAGCTAAATGTGGTGGCCCAGACCTGTACGGCCAGCACTCCAGGAGGGTGAAGCGGGCAGATTACTTAAGCTTAGGAGAGATCACTCTGATCAAGAGCAAAACCTCATGTCTACTAAAAATCAGGGAAAAAAAAAAGATACAATCAACGTACAATTAACTATATATATTTAAACTGTACAATCTGATTAAATTTTGACACAAATATACACCTGTGAAACCATCATCCCAATCAAGATAGTGAACATACCCATCACCCCTGAAAGTTTTCACATGCTCCTTGACTCTCTATCCTCTTATCCAGGAGTCCTCAAACTTTTTAAACATGGGGCCAGTTCACTGTCCCTCAGACCGTTGGAGGGCCAGACTGCAGGCCCCAGGATGAGTTGGCTGCTAAGCAGGATAGCCAGCGGTGGCAAAAACACACAGCGGGTCAGATAAATGTCCTCGGTGGGCCGCATGTTGCCCGCAGGCTACAGTTTGAGGACACCTGCTCTTATCCCTCCCATCTCCTGTCTCTACCTCCTCCCCAGAAGCAACCACTGACCAACTTCTTCATTATAAATTAGTTTGCATTTGCTAGAATTTTATATAAATGGAATGATACTGTATGTAATTGTTCTTGCCTAGTTTTCATTCATCATAATTATTTTGAGATTTATTCATATTATTGTGTGTATTTCTTGGTCTGTGTTTATTTCAGACAGGGTCTCACTATGTTACAGCCCAGGATGGAATCAAACTCCTAGGTTCAAGTGATCCTCCCACTTCATTCTGAGTAGCTAGGATTATAGGCCTGTATCACCATGCCTAGCCATTTTTGTAAATAGTTTATTCTTTCTTATTGCTCAAAAGTATTCCATGTAAGGATGTATCAGTTTGTTTATCCATTCACTCATAAATGGATATTTGGGCCACCTTTTTCCTTTAATATCATTTTTAACAATAGTGGTTCAGGCTCGGCACCTGTGGCTCAAGCAGCTAAGGTGCCAGCCACATACACCTGAGCTGGTGGGTTTGAATCCAGCCTAGACCCACCAAACAACGACAACTGCAACCAAAAAATAGACGGTCATTGTGGTGGGCATCTGTAGTCCCAGCTACTTGGGAGGCAGAGGCAGGAGAATCGCTTGAGCCCAGGAGTTGAAGGTTGCTGTGAGCTGTGATACCACAGCACTCTACCCAGGGCAACAACTTGAGGCTCTGTCTCAAAAAAAACAATGGTGGTTCATTGTCATGAAGCCATCTACTTACTTGAATCTTGGAGGCTCCATTGGGTCTTTTTGCATTTCTACCATGCGAATAACCCTCTGTTTAGCTCCAGAGTTGAAAGCTACTCCTTGCTGAGATGGTGTGTATCTAAAGAAGGCAGAAGAAAACTAAAGGTATAACTAATTCAAGCTTTCAATAGGCATTTTCCTTCTGTTACAATCCTAAGCTACACTGTATTTTCAATCCTTTCACAAAGTATTAGTGGAAAATTACAAAATATTTAGGCAGAAAAGACAAAAACAGAGACAAAACTAATAGAAATTATGAACTATAAGCAAAATGGAAGCTAGGAATGGTATCAGTTTGCAAATAATCCATCCCCATCTATTTTCCAACATGGAAGGTGCAGTATTCAGTTTTACTGATAGTCTGGAAAACAGTACCTGTTGAGTAAGTCTGCATTTGAGGAAAAGATACCTATAATATAATGTTGGCAAGTAACTTAGGCAGCAGTTTTTAGAATAACAACAGCAGACCTATCAGCTCTAAATTTTCCCTTATTATCTGTATATAATTCATCTACCCATGCAAAGATTTAGTTGTGTGAAATCTCTTAAAATCTGAAAGTATTTTAAGGCTCAGCATCTATAGCACAGTGGGTAAGGTGCCAGCCACATACTCCAAGAGTGTCAGGTTCCAGCCCGGCCCAGGCCAGCTGAACAACAATGACAACTCCAACAACAACAACAATCAGGCATTGTGGCAGGCGCCTGCAGTCCCAGCTACTTGGGAGGCTGAGGCAAGAGAATCGCTTAAGCCCAAGAGTTGGAGGTTGCTGTGAGCTGTGATGCCACGGCACTCTACCAAGGGTGACATAGTGAGACTGTCTCCACAAAAAAATAAAAAAGAAAATGGTATTTTAAGATGTCCACTTTAAGATGTTAGTGTTTATACTATTATATTTTTTGAGATAGAGTCTTACTATGTCACCCTCGGTAGAGTGTTGGGGTGTCACAGCTCACAGCAACCTCAAACTCTTGGGCTTAAGCGATTCTCTTGCCTCAGCCTCTCAAGTAGCTGGGACTACAGATGCCTGCCACAATGCCCAGCTATTTTTTGGTTTCAGTTGTTAAATTTTAAATAATAATAAATTGTTAATTTCTAAAAATTAAAATATAGTTTGGCTTGATGCCCATGGCTCAGTGGTTAGAGCACTGGCCACATGCACTGGGGCTGGCAGGTTTGAACCCGGCCCAGGTCTGCCAAACAACATGACAATAACAACAACTTTAAACTGTCCACAGAGTTGATAGCCTTCAAGTCATTATTCAAAACAAAGCAAGCATAACTTACTAAATAGGATAGTAAAAGAAATCAGGACCCCTAATCTGAATCAAGTCTGAAATGAAACTAAGCCTTCTAGGCATGACTCATACCGGATATACTGAGCAGGAGCCAGTTTATCAGCTGCTCGAACTGGCATGGCTGCGGCAACCTTCTGTGATACAGATTTTTCTAAGGCTACCCTTGTCTTCTCTGTTATCTGAAACAAGAAACATTAGATTGAGTGGTTTGGAAGTTAATAAGAATGTGAAAAAGTCACCTTATATATCAATTCTCAGTTACCTCTTTAATTGCTTCTTCATCAGGTCTTTGTAAGTCTGGATCATCCGCGTTCATAACCTCCTTTGGAACCAGGTCAGTGTATTTGCTATAAATGACCTAAAATGTTCAAACACAAACAGACTTTAAGAAAAGCAGAGAATGAAAAGCAGCAACCTCATTAAGTCATTTCAGATGTCAACATGTCCTTTCTCAGCACATTTATAAATTTAGGACATTCAGATTGTGTCTTTTAGATTTTAAAACCAAGTAAGCTTAAAATATATACACAAATTGCTACCCTAGCTATATTAATAATTTTCCTTGACCCCATGCATTTAAATTATTTGAGATGGTCTAATAAAGTCAGCATCCAAATAAACTGTGCCAACAAAATCTTATGCATCTTATGCCTGTTTTTGAGGCTCACCAGGACTTAAAATTAATGATGATATAAATTGCCTATAGCCCCATTATCTTGCCTTACAAATTCTTCAGAATTTAAGTCAGGTTAACAAATAGCATCCGAATTCATTGGGTTTAGAAAATTTCACTGACTTAATCCCACTTATATTTCTCTTCTTTAGTATCAACTTATTCCTAGACTAAGAAAATAAACATGTGCCATAGTTAAAAACCCCAGAAAACTTTCTTCCATGAAAAGACAAAAAGGGAAAACAAAATAAGAAAAAAAAATTCATTCTATATATACACAACTTATTTTATAACCATTATCCAAATTTACAACTGTATATGACTTCAACTAAGTCCAACATGGTTTCTATTAGGCTCCTCCAACAGAATATTACTTACTTTCATACCCACTTATACTTCTCAAATATTTTCATAGAAACTTACATAGCCGATTTTCAAGTCAAAAAGAGATATTGGAAATTCAATAAATAATGCTTTAGTTAGAACTTGCTGACACAAGGGTCCAGGGTGGTGGCTCACACCTGTTATCTTAGCACTCTGGGAGGCTGAGTAGATTGCTTGAACTCAGGAGTTTGAGACCAGCCTGAATAAGCGGGAGATCCTGTCTCTACTAAAAATCAAAATATCTAGTCAGGCCTAGTGACAGGTTCCTGTAGTCCCAGCTATTCACGAGGCTGAAGCAAGAGGATCGCCTGAGTCCAAGAATTTGAGGTTGCTGTAGGATATGATGATGCCATGGCATTCTACTCAAAAAAAAAAAAAAAAA